GCCCCTAGATGAGGGAAACCTACCATCAGGGCAGGTTGAGGAGGCATTTGGAGCCAAGAGGATTGGGACTTAGGTGTGGTCCCCGGACAGGGGGCCTCAGTGAAGCTGGATGACCCTGGAAGGTAGGACCATCCTCCCTGCAGCCATCCCGGCAGTCACCCCTCCCTGGCTCCTCTGCCCATCCGCCTCCAGCTTTGACGAAGCCCTCAGTTCCTCCTCCATTTCTTCCCTGCCAGCAGCTTCCTTCCTGAGTCGCCCCCGCTGCCCCGCCTCCCGCCTTCAATATCGCCCCAGCTCAGCGTTTATTAGTTCACCTCACCTGCTACTAGCTCCTCTGCTCTGGATGTGGTAGGTAGGCAGACGTGAGTAGAGCATGGGTACAGGTACAGATGGGCCGGGTACAGGAGGTCACCAGGGTGGAAAGCCCCAGGTGCCCAGGAAAGGACAATTGTAGGGTGGGACCTCGCCCCCAGCATCAGGAGGTTTGGACCCCTTGACCTTTCCGCCCTAGAGATAACATCTAGGCCTCAGTTGTATTTCAGTTCCAGGCCCAGAGAAGCAATAAAACCAGATAAGGCTGCTGTCAGGACCAGCTGCATTGAATAATGACCCCTGCCCTAGTGCCAGCCAATCAGTGGAGACCACAACCTTGAACGGACACACCTAGAAAGCTGAGTACTCTATTGAGACCTTCCCCTGGGACCTCCCCTAACACCGAGGCCCTTAAGCCCTTAGGAGGGAGGACTCGGTGCACTCTCCCTCCGGGGAGCAGGCTGTGCCTCCCTCTCTCCTCCCTCCTCCCTGCCCCAGGCACATTACCATGAGCTTCCTCACACCCAAGCTCCAAGGGTCCTGCCTTTATCACTGTAACGTGTTTCCTAAGCCCAATTCTTCTAGGAATTGCATTTTCTACCTCTGTGATTTACCCAATACATGTTCTCTTACAGTTTGGGTCTGGACTCTGAATTCTTTCCTAGCCAGAACCCAAGTACTGAGGTTGCTGAACCCAGGTTTGGTCTGACCCTACTGGTTAGACAACTGGTGCCATTCCTGTCACCTGCAACATTGGGAAATGGGCCAAGGAGGGCCCTGCCAGGTGTGGCCCCTGCGGGCCCCTAGACTCATGTCCTGCCACCAGGGACACTGGTGCCTCCCCACCTTTTGTCACGGAAGCCCCTGAGCCCTGGTACGGGTTAGGAGCCCCGTCACAGATTCCCAGCTCACGTCATACTTGCTGAGGAAAGACAGTGCTCTCTCCTGAAGACCAGGAGCAAAACAGGGCATCAGCTCACAGCATGTCTGCCCAGCATTGCACTGGAAGCTCTAGCTAGAGCAATTGGTCAAGAATAAAAGGCACTCAGGTTAGAAAAGAAGTGAAAATACCACATGCGATGATTTGCACGTAGAAAATCCTACGGAATACACTAAAATAAATAAATTACCCCACCTATTGAACTAATAAGCAAGTTCAGCGAGACTAGGGAATATGAGACAATATATAAAAATCAGCTCCATCTCTATGCATCAGCAATGAACAATCCAAATGAAACTGAGAGAGCAATTCCATTTACAAGACATAAAAAAGAATAATACTTAGGAGTGAATTTAACAAAAAAAGGATGATTCTCCTTATATGAAATGTCCAGAAAAGGCTAATTTATATGGACAGGAAGTAGATTAGTGTGGTTGCCTAGGGCTGGGGCTGGGGGAATGATGGCTAATGGCAGAAAACTTTGTTTTGGGGGGATGATGAAAATGTTCTAAAAGTAGATTATGATAACAGTTGCATAACTCTGTGACTATACCAAAAACTGTTGAATTGTACTTTAAAACAATTGATTTTTTTTAATCCCCAAAAAAAGCTGGTTAAAAAAACACACAATGAGTAAATTGCACCAGCCCCTCGGGGCTCTGCAGTTCATGCTGATGCCCAGAGTGAGCTCTGCCAGCTGTAGGCAAGCAGCCGCTGGCATCCCAGGACTCCGGCAGAGTGGGGGAGGGGCTGGAGGCGTGAACACAGCCACTGCGTGGTCTTTGATCCCAAGGCACCAGAGGCCCCTTCCTCAGAAAAATCAAAGTAAAACCTAAGGCATTACTGGGGAATTTGGATTCCCGGGTAGACCCCGGGCAAGCTGTTTGTCCCTGGACAACTGCTCCATCCTGAGCTGGCCGGTGGGGCTCCGGCACCCGCAGTTGGGAGGGGGCTCTGGTGGCTCTGAGATGGGTGCGGTTGCTGGGGAAGAGAGTGTTTGATGCGGATGTGGAGAGCAGCTCTGCCTTCGGCACTGGGAAAAGAAGGCATCCCTGAGGTCACCATTCTGGCTCTTTCCTGTTGAAACGTCCTCTGTGCCCAGGAGGGGGCGCCACTGCGGGATACCCAACTCCCCCTCCCCAGTACTCCTGCCGCTCTGTCACATCTGGGCACGTCTCCACTCTTCTTGCAAGTGTCAGCAGATGGTGTGCCATCTGGGAACCCCTGCCTGTGAGATGCAGACAAACGTGCCGGGCTCTGCCTGCTCCGGCGAGGCACTGTGCTAGGCATTTCCAGACGCTGCTTCATCTAACCTCACAACACTCCTGGGTTTCCTGCGGGTCTCATCTGGACAGCAGAGGCACAAGGCTCCCACAGCTCTAGCCACACGACCTGTCTGGTCCCTCCGTCTGGCCATGCTCCCCTGGCTGCCTCCGCCCTCTGCCCAGAGCTGCTAATGCCTCCTCGGCCTTCCAGGCTCATTTCAAGCCCCTGCCACATGGTCTGTACTCAACCTGCTCAGAGCAGGGGACTAACAGGGTGGGACAGAGGCTTGTGTCACTATTAGGACAGAAGGCTCCCTGGGCCGGGGCCT